GGTTCAAATAAAATCCGAGAAACCGATTCTTCTTCTTCCAGTCATACACACTGAAATGATCATCTCACTAAATATGTTACTAGTTATTGTGCTACTTTATAAAATTTATTCTACTTTTTGGTGTCATTACACAAATTTAACCATAATTAATCACAAATGATTAAACAAACAAATTGATTATCACATTTACCCACTAAGAAAAGCCGAATAATCTATATACATCATCGTCACATCATTAGATACCTTAAGAAAATATCCAAACTAGCTAGTAACTACATAGGATTTGATGCTCTTTTTTCAAAATGATTTTGTATTTGAAATTTTTGTTGAATACATAAATTTCCTTGTATTTATATTTATCTATTGTTTTATAATTTTTATTTGTAGATTTATTTTTGTTTTGACTGCAAGTACGTAATCATTTACACTATCAGTTTGTATATATTATGCAATTGATATATTTCATTTTCTTGGAAACTTATGTGATTGGTTTTTAAAAAAAATATATCTTGAATGTGTTTGTATATATTGAATAATCTTGGCATAATTGATCATCTTGTTTCATATTTTTAAGAGTTTTTTGGTTTATGCTAATATGTAAAGGAATTTGTACAATAAATATACTCTGTTTTTCATATCTCTTTAGATATTCATCTTCTACATAATTCGAATTCGGGTAGTTACACAATCAAATAAAAGCATTACATGTGTTAATACCTAATATTTGTGAAAAGAATTCGGGTAGTTACACAATCAAATAAAAGCATTACATGTGTTAATACCTAATATTTGTGAAAGTTATGTAAAGATTTGAAAAATGTTTTTATTGTGGTAGGTCTTGCCTCCCTAGTAGACACTACTGTTTTTATTAACGAAACACAAGTGGGAAGAAAGACAAACAATACATGTTGTTATACCTTAATGTATCTCTTTCTTTTTTCAATAAAGGGCCTAAATGGTAGTAGAGGATTTGTGGAATTGTGAAGAATGGGGGAAAAAACAATTCCTTTAGTACCATTTGTTATA